AGCTTATGAAAAATGATATGATAAAAATTACTAATGTCATTTATTTTACGAAACATGATGCGTTAATTGATCTTAATAATGAAAATCAATATACATTGAACGATATTTTATATGAAAATAAAATCTTTCTTATGAAGAACCCTCGGCCAAATTGGCAAGAGTTGGTAAAAAAATTTAGGCTAGAATATGGACGTAATTATGAGGAAAATAATGATAAAGTAGCAGGAAAAAAAGCATTAGTTATTAAAGATTGTGAGTTTGATGTACTTGAACCTGATGAGTTTAAGTTTTACACTTTAACAACATCATCTATTAATGATTTGTTCAGAAATAAGAACTTAATTTTAAAAGGTCAATTAGGTGCTCCAAATACTGCGAACATGGGTTTATCAATTGAACAAGAAAATACACGACAACATAATTCTGAAGAAACGGCAAGATTTGAACTCAAAAATATTGTCAAGGCAAAAATATCCATTGCTCACAAAATAAAACCCACTGATGAATTTATTAACGAAGTAAAAAATGCAATCGTTTGTGAAGATCTAAATAGATTAAAAATAGTTACTAAAAAATTTGGACAATTTGTTCCTACGGTTATTTTATTTGGTGGAAGACTACATTACAAAGTTATAACATACACAAACAAAAATTCAGAAAGCAATAAAAATATCATTTCAGGAAGTCTAGATGTTTATAAACAAAATCTAGAGACTCAATGTGGAGTTGATGTAACTAGTGAAAATAAAAATTCCACACAACTCCAAAATTCATTTATTTTTGGTGGCGATAAAATAAAAATAATCCAGGGTAAGGAAGACGATTGGATATCTTCATTACAAGACTTTAGGCATTGGGAAATAATCGAATTTCAGGAGTTTATTAGCATATTTGAATTGTTAGATAATGAGCTAAAAGATAAGATTAGAATATTAAGTGGTAAAATGATTATTTATTCTAATATTCAAGATCATGACTTTAAAATGCACGATCTTAATGTTATCGACTTGAAGATGCCCCCAAATATCATATCCATATTTTCTAATAAAGGCATTTTTGATCCGCAAGTTTTTGCTAAGGTGTCTAATACCGAAGAAGATGAAAACATCTTCACTTGTACATTATATACTCCACTGTATTCAAATATTCCGAAAATTATTATTAATTGCATTCAATCTAATAATGAGCAACAAAAGGAATATCATGTTAAAATAAGTTGGTTTGTTGTTGGATATGATTCAAGTTTACATTCAATCTTCGATCCAGCACGTATTCAAAGTGAGACAATAGAATATAATGGATATCTTGAAAAAAATGGTTATAGAGTCAAAGCACCCATTGTACTATGTTGCATGCCTGTACTTTTTGAGTGGGATCAAAGTTACAAGATTGACAAGGATCTGATCATTGGACATCACTTTTTTAGACATGATAATGAAATACGCATATATTTTTATGGATATGAATCAAGTAAGAAACATTTAAGAGAAATCGAGTTACCTTTTGGGTTTAAATTCAATATTCTCTACACCGGCCATTCATCTTGTCATCCAAATTACGATGTATTTAACTATTTTAAAGTCGACAGAAATTCACCTGCTAAAAAAATGTATTTAAAAATAAAAAACGTGAGACAAAATGCTGATAATACTTACAACAAATTCTCAGAATTTATCAGTTTGTATAAGGAGGAAAAGGATCAATTTGGTTCTGCATTCATCGGCAAAAAAACATGATCGTTTTTTTATTGTACAACCTTCTGGTGTACATGCGCCCCAATACCATAATTTTTTTGTAGGAATTTTTAATCCTGAGCCTGAGGACCAAGCGGCACTACTAGCTGAGGGTGAGGGTGAAGTTATACGCTCTTATAATTCCGA